AAGAAAGCTGACTGGCTCATCCCTGAAGTGCTGAATATATACTCCATATCTGAGTTATTTGATGAGATATGAAGTGTTTTGGTTAGTTCCAGTAATATGTCAACCTCGGGGCGTGTATGTCTGCCTATGTATGCGTTCGCATATGTAAGCCAGCAGTGATGACTGAAAGTAATCACGACAGTAAACATAACGTCTGTTCTTGGTCATAAAGGTTTGATGACCACCATCACCCCTCTCTGTATATATTTTAACCAGCACTCAGATTTAGCCATGTCAGACATACTTCTGGTTATGCTGATGAGCCTTTTTATTTTCATGTGAGAGAAAAAGCGGGCTAAAAGTACAAAGAAGTGACCGGGATTAGAAACAAGACAAGAAAAGACTAGTTGAGTCGCATTTTTGCAGGTGGCTCAACACCCTCTATATCCTTGAGTCTATCAATGAAAGACAAGTAGTTGTAACTTAACTTCTTGTCGGTATTCATTGCATTCAATGAATTTCATATTCGTCTGATAACCAAGAACAGACATTACTTTATTGTATTTACCACTTTAAACCATCACTGCTAGTTTTGTAGATATGCGAACACATACATAGACAAACACATTCACATTCCCCGAGGTTGACATATGACTGGAACTAACCAAATCACTTTATACCTGATCAAATAGCTCAGATATGGAGTATATATTCAGCACTTCAGGGATGAACCAGTGAGCCTTCTTAACTCGTTAGCTTGAATGCGATTGAAAGGATGATACCCTACTCTGATGATGCTCGTCATACGATAGACGAAAGCTTAGCACGTTTTCTCCAGAATCGAAGGAGATTACCTGGGAATCAGCGTCAGTAAGAATGTTCCGGTAAAGCCAATAGACAGCTGATGAGGAATCCACCATCGTCTTCTGATTGAATCGACCTTTAAATCTACTTACCAAAAACTCTTATTCAAAAATGGAATTAAGCCCAGCAATTATGAAGCAAGAGATTCCTCAAATCCCAAACTTTCTTTGCAAATAAATGCCTCGCCATCAGAATAAAGGAAAGTTGATATTTCGAGATCGTGAAAGGAAATGAGGATACCAGCTACATTTTTTTCATACACTTCCCATCTCAAGAAATTTTGTAAATTTGGTGAATTAAAAATATTTTAGCGATAATTGTGGGGCGTTTTTCAATTAGCTAATGTGTATACGAATTCAAGGCTTAAAGAAATTCTGGACGATTTCCGTTGAGACTAACCCAGAGGATATATACACATATATATGTATATATTGAGAGCAATAGGAACAAATATAAAATATGATTTTAATAGTGGAAGGTGGATTTAGCTATTTATG